TCTTTTCTTTTCTTTTCTTTCTGGTTTCGGGTTGTTCCGCCGCGTCCTTCTGTTATCTGTACGCACAGGCGAGTAGACGTTCGGCGAGTAATCACGCCATTCGATGGCATTCTATCGGGCGACGAAGCCTTTCACGAAACAAAGCGGAACGAGCCTGCCTTTGGAGGACCCGCTGTCAGCTTTCTGGCTAGCGATTGGCTGCGCGTAGACAACGAGGAAAGTGACGCCACCCCGAAAAACCATGTTGAAGGAGCAAAAACGACCAGAAACTTTGAACAGAATTAGACACCAATTTGTCAGCTAAATAAACAACGTCGTGATCATTCAAAGTGATACACTTCTCACCTCATCAATTTTATTGCTCGAGCTTCATAATTTGACCGATAGAAAGGAATTTTGTTTCTTTTTCTCATTCAACAAAATCTTCACAATTGGTCAAAGACCAAGTTCTGTAACATTTTTGTAGCGATAGCTTGAAAATCCAGTTTTCTTTTTTTTTTTTTGAATTGTTATTATTCTCTTTGGCAAGGGTGCGACACGTTCGCTCTCCTTTTTTTCCCGTTGTTAATACTTTATCTCTGTTAGTTCCAGGGGATCGTATACATCCCTGAGAAAATGTAAAGCATGTTACTGGGAAATGAATATTAAATTCGTTCGGTCGAAGCCCCAGTGGGACGTTGCTATCTTAGAGTTGACATACGAAAATGTTTCTTCGAGAAGTGGATAGACAATCTAGCTTAATTAACTATTGATCATTGCACTTGACTCTTTCTTTAAAATAAATACGTAGAATTCTATTTAATCAAAGCTGCGACGGTTGTCTCATAAAAAGTACAACGTGATCTAATCCCTTAAATTTAAGTATTATACTTGTTTAATCATCTAGTCGACGAATTCGTGCGTGATCGGAGAAAAATGGTGTTCGTACAAAATATATAACATTAAATTTCGTACGAAACGTACATTTGAATAATTGAAAGAAAATTGAAAATGTACATGAAAGCTACGACAGGCATTTAATGAAAGAAGAGATCAAACAACCAATTATATTCCACGTTATTAATTATATTCCACGTATTTATTATCCATTGTTCATTCTAATGAGATCAATTTTTATACGTAAAATGGTTATTCGTTGCTGCAACAAGCCGTACCATTCACATACATCGTCAAATTCGTTTCGGATTTTAATAAAACCTGAGAGCATCTGATACGAAAGAGTCTACATTGTGCATACCACCAACCAAACGCGATACCAAACGCGATGGGGAAAACATTCACGAAAAGGAAAGGAAATAGTATCCTAATCCGGTTGCATACCTCGGCTCTCTGCCGATACTAGAAGTGAGATTAATGCGAATGTCCCAACGTAGTAACGCGATAGTGTCCGCTCACCAAGCCGCAACCACCGTTCACAGCATTCGCTCGTGCCACCTTAGCTATCGCGCTCGACCCCATCGGCCCTTTTCTAACCAACGAAACACCGATTCTGGCAAGTTCCTAACTTATAATTATCATCTCTAACTACACGCTCAAGCTCGTCTGTGACAACGTCCGATGCTGCAGCAATACGATCCACCGTGTATTAGGGTTCCTCCACCGTGGTCGTAACGCGAAAAGGATATCGCCTTCGATATCGATACGCTTAATATCACACGCGTGCTCGTGTCATACACGTATACTTGCAAGTATTTGTAAAGTATTTGTAATCATGATAATTATATACTGACGTTCATCATTTTTCTAATCTGAAAATTTGACAGAAATATGAATGATAAACTCTTCGAACGATGACGAAATATGAAGTTAAATGGCAATGAGTACATGTATAATTGAAACTGCGATCAAGAGACACGAGGCAGAAAATAATTAATTCTATTGGATTGAATTTTATTGAACAAGATTACTAATATTACGATTAATACTAAAGTTTCAAATGAAATAATAATTCTTGAAAATTCTCAAAGTTTCCTAATAATTTTTTACGTTTACCTAAACTTTTGTGTAAAAGTGTCATGTCCAATCCGTCTGGCAAAGACAGGGTGAATCTACTTCGTAGCTACATGCTACTTCGAGCTCGAGTCTCTATACGTCTGACCATATACCGACTTCTATCACTTACCATCGATCTTTCATCATCTTTCACCGTGATTTCTTTTAACCTATAGTTTATGATCGCAAAAACCAAGAGTTCATAGAGACAAAT